GACCGGGAACAACCTAGTTTTCGAGTAGATTCATCTAAGCCTTGAGGGTATCTTGGGAAAGGGACCAAGCGTAAGAAAACCCATACCTTTTATGACGTTCAAACCTCGAGTTTCTGCCCAAAATCTTCTCCAAAAATAACGTCCAAATCCCCTTAATGTCAACACCAACTGGACAGACAAACTTCTCTTTGTCTACGTGATTGACATCGTTTGTTTTCTAATATTTGCGTTGTGATTTCTTCAAGTGTAAAGAATTTTGATTTACCTACTGTTGTAATGATGTTATTTTGAAGATATGATCGTGAGTGAGAGTGATAGAGACATGAGAGAGAGATATGAGTGTGGGAGAGAAGAGTTTTCTTAGGAATAGGAGTGTTGTTTAGGATTTAGTCAAATAAGGTTTTTATTAAATTATTAAAAATCTGATTTACTTTTATTTTAAACCAACTAATAAATAATAATTATAAATTAATTACATCAATTTACCAACTTAAATTAAAAACAATTTAATTCATTGCTTCCACCTAGGTTAGAACCCAAGTGGAGCAAGACTTCACATTAAAAGCCAAACTTTGGACCTCTCTCCCCAAAATACCCCTCCACCTTATTAATTAAATAATTACTTATATATTTAGGATAATTATGATACTACCCTTTTCCTAGAAAAAGAACAATTTACCCCTAGACCCTCCAAACCTAAGATTTTCCCTTTTTATGTCCGGTAAAGACTCCTTTAAGTAAATCTTCGTATTCGAGAGCCCTACATTGTTGGACCTAACCTTTCCTAGCTAAAAAAACTCCCCATGTTAGTTCTCTTGGATGTAGAAAGCTTATAGACGCCTTCTTCTATGTGCATCAATCCATGTGAATCTGGTCTAATCGTTGGCATTCTAGACATACTAAGCATTACTTTGCATATCTACTTTTAGGGTTGCTTCATATCTATACCTAGTGAAATATCCCTCGACACCCCTCAACCTATGAGAAGTTCCCCCAAAATTTTTCGGTGATGTGTATGGTTTGGTCTATAAAAAACTTCACGGACCGTCTAAGGATTCATGGTCTGTGTAAACAATCATGGGATTTATAGCCAGTAAAATTTCACCTACATTACATGACTTCACTAAAACAGACATAACTTTTTACTCCAAATATAAAATGAGGCAAACTTGGTAGAGTTGTAAAGATTAGTGAAAGACTTAAAATTTGATAGGCAACAGACTAACAAAAGAGTTCACCGATTTAACCCACTTTGGCAGCCAAAAACCTTGTCAACTTCAGCCTTTCAGCACTAAGCAAAATTTAGGATGGTTTTGGTGTTAACTCAAAAAATAGGCAGAAACATTTTTGACACTAAATCTTTGACATTTTAAGTAACATAAAACAGTAGACAACGATATGATTAAGCATATAAAATATAAAATGAGACAAAGACAACCAACAAAATAGAAAACATAATTTCCAACTTGTAGTAATAAAGTGAATACAAGAACACTCCCAAATCGTACTAACCTTGGCACTATAAGATCACCCTAGAAATTCACTTATATTTGATACTTCTAATTATTATTCTCTAATTCTTAGAACAATCAAACCCGAATTACACCATTAGGAAACCTGCACATTTATAATAATATGTGCAGCCATCTATCGACAAGTGTCGTCATGTGCTTGGCATGTATTTGTAACAACTGGTCAACTTTGACTTTGCTTGCTTTTTCGACAAGCTTTTCCCATATTTAAGACTATCATACTTAGAATTTTTTGCCTTGCATTGATCCCAATTAATGTTGTCACACCACTATCATAAATCTATGTCATTGCTTCATCTCACGTTGGCATCAATGTCATTTCATTATTGTATTAGCCTTGTTGTCTGTTTGCCCTTGTTATTTATTTTGAATATAAATTCTATGCCCACATATCTTTTTTAAGATTTCTTCTGGTCAAGTCGTCACCAAGCTGTCTTGCCTTCAAGTCTTTGGTCCTCAGTTGTTTTTTCGCAATTAGGCCATTGTGCCATTGTGCACACCTTAGCATTGTAAACAATTAATCACCAACTTACCCTTGCATGTTTGTTTCCTTGGCACATGGAAGTTACAAGGTTAACATGCTTAGTACCTTGTCCATGCTGCCATTTAATAGAGTGACTTAGATTAGGGGTCTTGCAGACAGCTTCATGTTCCGTGCAAAAGTTTCATGACCTGGTCAAGGACTCGTGCAACTCTAAACGGCCTGTGAAACCCTTCGTAACAATAACTTCAGGTTTCAATTTAACCACTATTGGTTGTATGACTAGTGACATTCTCTACGAAGTTTACAACCTTCTGTACGCATGCAATTGTACTAAAATAAATCCTTTACTCTTTTTGCATTCCAAGTTTCAAGATTTCTGAGGTGATATATTTGTCTACTTCTTTATAGGTCATTGTGTGTTAGCAATTCATAAGTAATTGACTGTTGTAATCCAAGGGTGACTACTCCAATCCAAGTATGATAACTTTTTTGAAGTATAATTTTTTTAAGCAATTCCTACTCGACATTGTTTTGACCTTAATAGTTCCAAGCGGACTAGTGCTTCATTCTTCTATATAGTTGATTACTATGATTCAAAAATTCATAAGTAATAGGTTGTTCCACACCAAGAAGTATATTTTTCTTTGAAGCAAAACATTTTTTATGTACTTACTACGATACAATAATTTGAACATCGTAGTTCCAAATTCACAAATATTTCATTCTTTTGTCTATTTGTAGAGTACATGTCATCAATTCATAAGTAATTAATTGTTGTATCCAAGAGAAAATTCCCCCAATCCAAGAAGTATAATTTTGTTAAATTAGACTCTTCGATTAAAAGAAACCTTCTTAGAAAAATATTTTTGTTTTCGTTACCCTTAATCCTCTCTTGTTTCTTTACCCCCTACTCGTTTTTTTTTCATTACCCCCAATTTTTCTTCTATTGTTGATTTTATCGGTGAAAAAAAATTATTTTGATTTTTATTGAATAAGGTAGAGATTTCCATCGATATTGGACCAGTAATGCTGGAAGTTTTTTTCTCTTTTTGATTTTCATGAAATCTTTGGATTGATCAAAATGACATTCGTATGTTTAGGTTAGTGCTAGAAGTGTGAAAATCTATAACTTTGTTATGATTATGGGAATTTCTTCAAAATTTTGTATTAAGAGAACCTGCTTGTTTGTTGTGTTTTGTTAATGCGTATTGCATTCTCCGGGCTGATCATCATGTTGTGATTTTGTTTATTTGTTAATGTATATATTTTTCTTCTATTTTTTCTAGAAAGGAAAAAATTACACTAACAATTGTGATACCTTCATTTTAGTTTTTATCATCTAAACTATACATGAGAAATTTCTTGGTTATAGGGATGTAGGTCTCTAGTAATTTGATTTTATCACGCCACGAGACATGGACACGAAACCTAGGAAAACAAGTGATCCCTAGCAAACCCTGCTTGCATGATCATGAGCATACTAAAGATCATAAACTGAATGCGAAAGCTAAATCATAATTAAAAATGAAAAGATGGGGAATACCCATATGCTAATACATGAAAACTGATGAGTTTAATCCAAAGAAGTTGTAAATATCTGATATATCAATGCATATTCTTAGAGAACTATCTTTCTTCTTTAGAAACAATACTGGTCCACCCCATGACGAAATAATAGGTCAGATGAAGCTCTTGTCTAAAAGGTCTTTCAACTGATCCCTCAATTCCTTAAGCTCTGCTGGAGCCATTCCATAAAGAAGGAATAGAAATAGGCTGGGTATATGGAAGGATATCAATTCCAAAGTCGGTTTCCCTTTCGGGAGGGACTCCAGTATGATCTTGTGAAAAAATTCAGGAAACTTACTTACTACTGGAACTTACTAAAGAGTTGATGTTTCGTATCTAGAATCCTTAAGAAAAACCAGATGATAAAGATAACCCTTATAGATCATCTTTCTAGACTTAAGGTAAGAAATGAATTGACCCATAGGATCTAAGATACTACCCTTACATTCAAAGATTGTTTCGTTTGGAAATTGAAAATGAATAATCCGATTTCAACAATCGACTGAGGCATAACATGAATGTAACCAATTAATGCCTAGAATCACATCAAATTTTACCATTTCTAACTCTACAAACTCTCTGTTGAGGTGACTTTCTGAGAGTTGTGACAAAGCAATATCTATATACCTATCTAGCTATAACTAGGTCACCAACAGGAGTAGAGACTTAGGAAGGTTTTGAGAAAGTTTCTTGACTAACACTATGTTGGAATGCTATGTAAAGAGTTACAAAATAAAGAGTAGCCCTTGGATAAAACAATGCATAAACATCAAGGTCAAAGTCTCGTAATATACTAGTGACTACATCAAGAGAACCTTCTTGATCCTGGTGATCCTTACGAGCATACAATCTATTATGGCGTTGACCGCCACCTGTACCATATGAGTTACCCTGGTGAGTCTCCTGACTTGCTTGTGATGCTGAAGTTTTAGAGAGAGCTCTACCATTACCGCCTCGTTGACCTTGTGTAGAAGGACAATCCTTCAACCTGTGAATAGACTGACCGCACCCAAATCATTATTCCTTTCCTGTGAGGCACTCGCATGGATGTTTCTTACTACACTTAGGGCAAGTGGGGTAACTCTTGGTCCCTAAAACACTTCCATGAGACTTAGAACTGAGTGCCCTTACCTGTGGATCATACTTGCTTTTAGAGGATAAACCACTAGCTGATGAAGGGGCTGGGGTTTAAAATTTCTGCTGACTCTACAATGATTTCCACTACGTGATTTCTATTTAGAATAGACATAGTTCACATTCCTAGCCTTATTATTCTCCTTGGACTGTTCCCTAAGATTATCACCCTTAACCTGCTAAGCATGAGTCATAAGCCTAGACATGTTCATATCTCCTAGTAACATAGCATTTTTGCACTTTGTTTTCACCGAATCTGACACTCCATACAACAACTTTTTCATCTAAGCGCTCGAGTTAGCAACCATGTGAGCAATACACCTGTAGAGTTCGTTAAACTTAAGCCCATGCTCTTGGACCATCATGTTTCTTTGCCTTATATTCATGAATTCCTGAGCCTTTACTTCTATCAAATCTATTGGGAAAAACCTGTCCAGGAAGATTTCACTTAAGCAATCCCAAGTAATATAAGCTGCATCTATAGCCTTATTTTCCTTCCACTGAGTATACGAGATATGAGCAACATCTTTCGCCCGGTATGATATAAACTCAACCCAATTATTGCCATTAACCTGCATCACCTCAAAGATATTCTTGATCTCATCCAAGAAGTTATGGATATCCTCACTAGTGTATGATCCTATGAACTTAGGCGGACTAATCCTAACAAAGTCACAGACTCTATCTGTTATGGATCAACCATTTTCATTAACATGGTCTTGAACCCGATTGTTTTGGTTGGCCACATTCATGGCCAACATCTGAATGGCATTCCTAAACTCAACATTGGAGACATTATGATTTGGGATTGGAGGAGTTACGTTTGCATTTCTGGCATTCACATTCCTAGCGTTAGCTCTACGAGTAGGCATGATCTGAAACGTAGAACATCAAGTTATAATAGAAATATATCATACCTTATGCACGATAAGAGTAACAAGAAAGTGATGTTTTCCCTAAAACACATCATAGCCTTCTTCTCATTAAATGTAGTGCACTTCATACCCATGAAAAAGACTCTACTTAGTTCGGATTTCTATACATCCTAGGAAACTTAAACCTAGTAATCTGATACAATGTTTTACACGTCCCGAGCTACCCAAGTGACATGGAAATGGGACCAAGGACCACAAATGATACCAATTTTATTCTACTGGCGTGATCATGAGCATACTAAAGAAAATAAACTGAGCACGGAAGATAAATCGTAATTTAATATAAAAAGATGGGGAATACCAATATGTTATAATTGAGATATATGAAAACTTACGCATTTAATAAAAAGAAGTTATTAACTCAACACAAAGCTTAAACTATGTATGTTCGAAAATAGCCTCTAACTTACTAGAAATGCTGGAACAGGCCCCAACTAAGTCTAGCCAAAACTGAAACAAAAGGACTAAAATACTTCAAATAACTCATGAATATTGTCCTCGGAGAATAATGACTCATCAATGATTCTTCTGAACATGAGAACATGTAGTGCACATATGCGACAGTACTTAAAAGGTACTGAGCATGTAGGATATAGCAAAGCTTAAATAATACATAACTTATCAAGCATAAAATGAAAAATAATATTCTAAACATGATATACTAAATTCTGAGCTAACTAGATGCAATGACCAAATTTAAGACATGCTGAGACTGAAGCTAGCTGAATTGTAAATATGGTCACTGCAATAGAGTACTACTTAACCGTGAAAGCTACTAATAACTAATAGTAATACCACATGATCTAAATGTGGAGTCCAATGTATACGCCCCATGGAGAGGACCCAATATACTCTGCCAGAGAAAAAAGGAATGTTGATGTAATCACTAAATTGATGCCCTCAAAGGGGACTTACAACCTATTTAGCTAATAGTTTTAGGACTATTTGGTACGTTGAACCCTAGTCCAACTAGTTATGATGCAAGACCCAATGAATTAAGTGATTAATAAATTATGACTGAATTTTTGTAAATAATGGATAAAATAAAACTTAACATGGAAACTAAGAATGCAACAATTAATGAGATAATGATGCAGTAATAAATGAGACATTTGTATCTAAAGTAATAGAAATATCTGACCTAGCATGTGTAATTCAAGAACAAAATAAATAGTAAGCTAGACTTCTAAAATTCATGCAATAATTTGTATAATAATATGGTAATCTGACTTGGAACATATAACTAACTAATTTATCATAATTTGTTGAAGTTCTAGCAAACCCTATGTCTAATTATGATAACAGAATAAAGAATCTGATTGAAAACTAAGGACCTAATGGGTGATAGGAACAAACTAGTGAAATCTCACATATCCGTTAATTAAATCCACGGATAAATCATTAGATTTTGGGGGTGAAATTGATGAAACCTTGTTATGTTCATTAACTCAGGTTCTTGACCTTTTTTCTACTTTCTTGCTTCGAATTTTCTAAGTTTTAATTAATCGTTGATTTAGGTAAATTTTAGTTATGTTTCTAAGCTTAAACTGACTAAAATTTAATGATTAAGGACATTAACTACGTATATTAGGGGTTAAATAAAATAGAAAAAAACAAAAAAATATGTTAACTAATTGCTGTCTGACTAATGGACGACCTGGTCTGACAGGCTGTCGTTCAATAAACGGTCCTTTTTTTGGATCTACTTGACAAGCCTTCACTAGATTGGGCATAATGTTTTACTCTAAGGTTTGAGTTTAGCAAACTCGATGGCTATGGAAAGATAATTCAATTCTCTATTGTATAATATGTTATAGGAAACCTAATTCATTTTTTGCTAAAGGTTATAACAATTTCAAGTTTACCCTATTAGCAATTCCCCTTAACTAACGGCTAAACGTTACTTATGGTCAGACCTACAGACTGTAGATCAAACAACGGTCCGTGCTGGTCATCCATAATTTATGTCAGAGCCTGGGTAACTTGAGCATCAATTCACAGACACAGACAATGGACCGTATTTTGACTTACAGACCGTAAGTATGTCCGTGGATCGACACTTGGTCAATTTTTCTATGCTATGTTTTGGGAGAGCTTCAATTGGAAATGACGGATGCACAATATAGGTCGTAGATCAGACTACGGTTCGTCAATAGTGACAATCGATTGAACCTGTAGATTTCTGAAAAACTTATTTTTGATCTGTTTTCGAGGGTTTTACAAGTTTCAAGAAACTCATGTGCTAAAGATTGCGATGAGGAAGGACAACAAGATTTTGAACAAAAAAGAACTTGCAGAATATTGATGCTATGAACATAACTATGTTAGACAACACATGATGATCAGGGGCATGTATTTTTACTAAAAAATTCAATTTTATTTTTGTTATATTTGATGAAATAAACTACAATAATGCTCATCATAAATATGTTTCGAAATGATGAACATGTTTCTAGTTTTTCTTAAGCTAAATTTGGACACAAGGTCCCTTTAGCCAGCACCCCAAAAGGGACAATATTTACATAAACAAAATGGGTTCTAGTCAACCCCAAAGTGACCAGACCACACATTTTTAATAAAAGTCCCCTTTTGCAGGGTTTCCACAAATGCTCTTTAAACTTACTTTTTAACTTCTCCCTTCTTCCTTGGTAATTCTTCCTCCTCGTAGGCATGAAAATGTAATTCTCCATGTAATAAACATTCTTCATCAAGCATTTGTGACCTCCTATTACTGTATGCTTTGAAAGGTTTGTCCACCCTCTTTTTTGAATTGTGTTACCTCTCCTACCAGCTAATTGTGACTGTTATAGTCGTACTTTTTGGTTAGAATTTGGAGATCTCGTCGAACTTGATCGTTATTAGTGGCCTTCCTTTTTAACTTTTAAAATTTATATAAGTGATTTACCCTTCTCAGTTTCTTTATCTTTTTTGTTCTTCTAATTTAACTATGATTCATGTTGTAGATGAAGACGAATACGAGAAAAGGAATTTTCATCCATCAGATTCCTTGCTGAGTGCTTCAAAAATGTAAGATTTGGTTCCTTTATTCTAAGTTTTAAATGTCTCTTTATCCCATTTTGCTTGCTAGCGTACCTTATTCCTAGGAGTAGTTCTTTGACAACATCTTTGCTCCAGCTAATTATAGAATATAAATTATTTATATAGTTGTGTCGTCACTGTAACTAAGCATGCTACCCATTGTTGTCTATATTTATTCTTCTTTAGTTTATACGAACTGAAGGATTTATTGCTTGCCCATATTAAGAATCTTTCTTCCCAGACATGGTAAGTGATTAAAGCTTAAGAATACGTGTTTTCTTTCTTTGTCAATTGTTGTATTTGCTACAAAGTCTGCTAGCCAATTTGTCTCTTTGAAAATATGTTGCACACTACAATGATTTGAGCCACAATTTCATGTATGTCTTCCCTTTGTTTAGCAAAATCCCATGGTATTTTCCAATTCATCATAATTACGTCTTTTAAAATCAATAAATTTGTATCCACATGAATAGTATTAATCTTATAACTTATACAATACATAAAATCATCCCACACGTCCCTAACCTCTCCCTCTATGTATATTCGTTTCCTCCCCTATGCTCTCTGACTCTGCATATATGAGAACTCCTCCTTTATTTCGTATAGAAAAACAATAAGCATTCTGACCCGGTTTCCATTACTAGCTCCATCCGTGTTGCAAGTAAACGAACCCTATATTGGCATTTTCCACCTCACGAGTAGATCATGTATGTTGGACAGATATCTCTGAAGTGTATCAACTATTTTTTACCAATATTTTGACATACTTGTGATCCAGGGAATGTGGTTCTTATTAATTGATGTATTGCCAAGTGACACTTATAATACATATTGTCTTCCATAATTGCCATATTATGATTGCAGGGACTGCCTTTAGTATATGATCTTATTTATGTGACATCTTGTGCTCCCACCATCTATAAATGATTTATTTTACATTTCCAGTTACGCTGAGACCTACACAAGATGAAAAATGCTTCCATAGATTTTGTGCGATGGGAGCTATTAGTAAAACATAAGATATGTATCCAAGTGACCCTCCTCACAAAAGTAACATTTTGAAACCGCGTGTATCCTCAACATCTTTAAATTAACATATGTGGCCATTCTCCCCTTCCAAACCCTCCATAAGAAAAAACCAATCTTGAGTGGCAAACCCTTTACCCCTATATAATTGCTCCATTCATTCACTGGCATTTTTCTTTTCATGTTTTGATAGGCTCATTTGACATTGAAATCGCCTTTGATGTTATGCGTCCATCATGCTTTGTCAGTGCTGACTTCATTGAGAATGAGCCTGATTTTCGTTGTTATATGTTGTACCATTTCGTCCGAAGTCACTTATTTTATATTTTCTTCATTCCACTCATAATTTATGATAAAATAATTTACCTCCAATTCCTCATCTTGTGCCAACTCTCCTTCAGTAAAGTATAATGATCCTTTCCTGTTCCAATTATCAAATCAAAAACTAGATTTTCCACTCTTCATTTGCCACTATATATCATGTTCTCCCTCCACTCTGATCTTAATCATCTTCTTCCAAACCTGTGAGACTCCTAAACTATTTACAATTAACAGATGCATTGTTTTGCACTACTTATTCCACATGTATTCATCCCATAAAGAGTTTATGGATACTCTAGAGTTCGACCATAACTAAGAATACAAGGCTTTATTTATATCATTAATCTACATATATCCAATTCCATCTTCCCCTTTTGGAAGAAACATATTCCCCCATGGCACCAAGTGTTTACTTTTAACTACCCCCACATTTCCCAAAAGAATTTAGTAAAAATAAGATGATTTTGGTCCATGAATTATCTTTGTTGGATTCATAGTTGATAAAAAGTAGTCTAGCATTGATTGAAGAACATAATTTATAAAAACATGCT